CAAAAAAGCCACTCTATCACTCCTCCTCCATCAGCAGGATGGGGAGAAAATATGATGAAAAGTTCGTGGGCTGAGATAAAGAGAGGGAAATCACTCAGCAATTACGGTCACAGGCAAAAGACTTGACTTAGGGAAATTAGTTTAATTTATTGCCAGTCAGAGTTGGATAATGAGAAATAAGAACAAATCTTAAAAACACCTTCCCCCCTACCCCTCTTTTCTTCCCAGGCTCAACTTTGCTCCTGACTCTTCTGCCTTTTTCCCCTGAGAGGTGCAGGGGGATGGGGAACGGGGAATGTGGTCAGATATAACACTTCATCACAGCCACTCCTTCCTCCTCACACTCTTCCCCTGCTCTAGCATGAGGTCCCACCCACAGGATACAGTCTTTCATGAACTTCTCCAATATGGGTCCTTCCCACAGGCTGCAGTTCTTTAAGAACTGCTCCAGAGTGGGTCCTTTCCATGGGGTGCAGTTCTTCAGGAACAGACTGCTCCAGCATGGGTCCCCCAAAAGGTCACAGCTCTTGCCAGAAAACCTGCTCCAGCGTGGGCTGCTCTCCACCAGCTACAGTTCCTGCCAGGAGCCTGCTCCAATGTGGGCTCTCCACGGACTATGCTTTGTTCAGGGCATATCCAACTGCTCTGGCATGGGGCCCTCCACAAGCTGCAGGTGGATATCTGCTCCACCATCAACCTCCATGGGCTGCAGGGGACAGCCTGCCTCACCATGGTCTTCTCCCGGGGCTGGCAGGGTGAGCGGGCTGCAGGGGTGCTTTGCTCTGGTGCCTGGAGCACCTCCTGCCCCTCCTTCTTCACTGACCTTGGTGTTTGCAGGGCTGGTTCTCTCCCACTTTACTCACACCTTTCTCACAGCTGCTACACAGTGTTTTTCACCCTTTCTGAAATATGTTATCCAGAGACGCTACCAACGTCACTGGTGAGGTCAGCTTTGGCCAGCAGTGGGTCCATCTTAGGGCCAGCTGGAACTGGCTTTGTCCGACATGGGGGCAGCTTTTGATGTCTTCACACAGAAGCCAACCCTGCAGTCTCCCTGCTACCAAAACCTTGCCACACAAACCCAATAGGTTAGTGGCAGTGCCACTAACATAATGCTAGGAAGGGCAGGGGCAAAAAGGAAACTTTCCTGGTTTTAGACTTTATGGGATCCTAAGCACTGTGTGATGTTTGCTGGAGAGAGGAGTATTGTAGAGGCCAGTTTTGTATTGTGTTTCTGCTATGTTCAGTGCCACAGCACACTATTTATTTTTTTTTTTATATTACTGGGTTGCAAGTAATAGTGAAGTAATAACAAAGCTTTACAATTAAGATTTTCAGCCCCCAAACTGCAAGAATCTCTTAAACGCCCCCTAGTTTTGATTTAGCCTAAATTGATTTGGTGGTGTTTAGAAAGCTTGTCAAGTGTTTAATGGCTGTCCAGATTAATAGCTGTCAGGTGTTTGTGGTGCCTTTTGGTGCTAAGGTGATGCCAGGTAAATTAGAAGCTTCTCTTTCCTCTCAATCTAAATTCTATTGCTGACAGCTGTCTCAGAGCAGGATTAAGACTTGTCCAAAGTGTTTCTCGGTTAGTTTGGATGCAAGAGCTGGAGAAAGATAAACATTACAGGAAAGGCATGTGCCTGAACAGGATCCTTTAGTTATCAAGCAAAGGCGCAGATGCTGTAAGCAAGTAGGAGTTTTAAGGTTGTAAGTAGGGGAAAAAGTAAACCCAAATGTGTATGCATCTTGAGTAGCCTACTTGATGAGACCACAAACTCTGAGTTTGGGCCTGTTACAGAATCCAATTCAATCATAAAACATAGACTGGGATGAGATTTGCAAGATCTCCAGAATCCCCCGTTCTCACACTTGTGTTGCCATGAATAGAATGGGCCTGTTTACATTGTTAAAGAAGGATATATTGGTTATGATTAAGCAGCATGGAATAATTGAAGCTGAGGCTTGGTTGAAAGGAGACTAATTTACCAGTTATCTTATTCTTAAGTGTGTTGTGATGAGGATTTTTAGGTGTATTTCCAATTACGCTAAGACTGTAGTCAAGGCAAAGCAATATAATCTCAGCATCTGCAAAGCAGGTAGCCTACAGGCTTTCACCATATCAAAAAGCAGTTTCACACATTTTACACTTTGGAAGGCACACAGTTATTTAAATCCTAATCAGAACAAAAGTAAATATATGTGGGAACCTTTAGGATGTATGAAAGCTCTGAATTAAAAGCATCAGCAACTGAGGGTTGCTGATGCTTTTAATTCAGTGGGCAGCAGGAGTGCCAACTCTGTTTATACTGTCTTTTCAAGGTCCCTTGCCTTTATCTGAGTTACAAGAGAGGGCAGCTAGTTCCCCAATGTTTTTTCCTTAATGTAGGGGCAGCAGAAATGTTGCATTTATTTAATTATTTAATAACAGGTCAGGTGATAAGGAACCTATGTGTGTAGTGCTAAATTAAAGTAACAGAATAGAGGGTAAGAGGTTGGATTAGGGAGGTGCACAGTGTTGCTGTGGTTGATCTGAAATTCACACTTACACCAGGGTTTCAACCTTTTAAAGATTTAAGAGTGAAAGCAAGTTTAGTAGACATGTGCATTGTGAGAATAATCCTCTAAAAGCAGGATCCTTCCATGTAGAACAGGCAGCCTCTAAAAGCAGGATCCTTCCATGCAGAAGCAGCAGTCTTTCTTGGGTAGCTTTGGAAAATGTGCATTGTTTCTTCCCATAGAATCCTTCCCTTACACTGTTCTTTCTGTTGATTCTGAAATCTGGTAATAATTATGCCTTGGGTTTTAGATATTTTGTGCTTTAAAAAATAACTTTAGGGGAAGAGGTTCCTACCTTGTGAAGCCTCACATTTTTAAGCAAATGGAATAGCTTTTCTGGGGTTTTTTTTCGGTTGTTCTTATGACTTTGAGCTTGAAATGCAACTAGGCATCTAGCTTTTGGGATAGAATCTTAAAAGAGTTTTGGTTTTAAAACATTCTGTTCATCTAAGCCTTTGTTGTGGTTTAACCCCATCCAGCAGCTGAGCACCACACGGCAGCTGTCTCACCCCCCTCGCCCCACCATGAGATGGAGAGTAGAATTGGAAGAAAAGGATAAAACTTGGTGGTTTGGATAAGAACAGTTTACTAGAACAGCAAAGGAAGAGGAAAATAACAACAGTATTTAGAATATACAAAGCTGGGGATACACAATGCAATTTGCTCACCCAACCGCTGAGCAGTGACCCCTCCCTACGTGGTCATCTCCCTTTATATCTGGAGCATGACGTGATATGGTATTGAATATCCCCTTGGCTAGTTTGGGTCAACTGTCCTGGCTGTGACCCCTCCCAGCTTCTTGTGAAAATTAACTCTACCCCAGCCAAAAACCAGAACAGTCTTGTTGTTGAAGGACACAAATGAAGGAAGAGTGTCATTTCTGTTTTTTCTATATTTTTTTCACATGCTCACTGCCACCTCTATCTTTGTTTTACTTGGAAAATTTGTATTGATATCTGGACTGTTGAATATCCATTCTTACGCAGACCAAAGTAAGAATGCTCAGTGGGCACTTCATCTCATTTGAAAAATCACACCATTCATAGTGCCTAAAGATGGGCTTAGGGAAGCAGGTTAGAAAGTATGGGCTAAAGTTACATTGCGTTATTTCAATTGATTGCTAGACAGACTAAAGTCTAGGCCTGTATAGAAAAAGTTTTCCCACTTAGGTCTGTGCAGATATTTTATTTTGATATAAGAAAAATAAGTTCCTGTTCTGTAAAGTGAGCATCTAGGTAAAGGCAGAGGAAACCAGTTAGTGCTTTGTACTGATGATTAGGCTTGTGGAGTCAGTGCAATGCTTATTAGACATCGGAAAAAACACATGACAGTGTCAGCCCTCCAAGGCCATAGAAAATTTTGGTTTGCTTGTTCCTGTTTGACATGTGGTATTTGCAGCAGAACTTAAGTTGCTCTGAAAAACAGCTTCTATGCAGGGTCTGTTCAAGTGATTATGTGGACGTAGCAGCATTGGTTTAAAATCACCCCCTTGCATTGCACCGAAACACAACTTTATATATTATTATTATTATAACACAGTTAGGATGTGTGCAGGGATAACTTAATGTTCTTTCACTCTTCTTAAATCATGACCTTACAATGCTTTTGCATTCATTGTGCAAGTACCCTGGTGTGCTGCACACATAGTTCCATAGAAATGAAACAGGACTCTGTGGGCTTGAAGCTGACTGTAAGCTTAAAGTATTTCACTGAATCAAGGTCACAGAGCATGTGCCTTGATTTTGTGATACTGTGTGTTAGCTGTAGCAGATTTGTAGGAAGTAAATATTGCTTTCTCTGCTATTGTGCAGGTCTTGGTTAGTGTCTTGGTTAATGTCTTGGTTAGTGACTCAGTGTTACCAGATCTCTTGATGGTATCTCAAACTGACAATATTTAATGCTTTTTCTGCGTTTTATTAAGCCTCAGGTTTTGGAATTGTGTTCACGTTAAAGCAAAACAGAAATTTTCACAGTTATGGGAAAAAAAGTTTGAAAAAACCCTTGGGCGTCGGTGAAAACTCAAAACTTTGAAGAGGAACAGATCTTTCACAGAAAATAAATGAAACCCTTTATACTTAAGCAAAGCTTATAACTTGATGAAGACCAGATGCTTGTTTTTTTTCATACACAGATTGGCAGCTGTTGCAAGTACTTTGATTCAGTTTTTATTCCTGATTGATTTATAGTTGCAGCCAAATAACTTCAATAACATGAAGCTAATTATGTTATGTTTTGGTGTTTTGTTTTTTTTTTCCCTCCTCCTAGGGTCTAGTTTCAAATTTAACTCTCGATCAAGATACACTTGTTGAATGGGAAATCTATCCTCTAGACATAGATGGAGCAGTGAACCATGACATTAATGGCCACCTTGACCGACCAAAGAGATCTGTTGGCAATCCACTGAGTTATGAAGCACCTACTTTTTACACTGGTAGACTTTCAATTCCTGAAGGGATTCCAGACTTGCCTCAAGACACCTATGTCAAGTTTCCTGGCTGGACAAAGGTACGTTTTGCTGTAAAAATTTGAAGTCCACTCAGAAGGCTGCTGAAACTTCTGTGGACAATCAAAGTCCACCTCTCTTGGATAGGTAGAAGCTGGTTGTACTGGTGGAGTGTCTCAAATATATTTAAATGACTAGAAAATGGATTCCTTGCTTTAAGTAAATTAGGAGATAAACCATTAAGAGAAGGGAAACATATTCCAAAGATACATGGTATTGGTCTAGAAGGTGGAACATTACCATAAAAGCCAAAACAACCCACCCTAGTTTTTCAACAGTGAGAAAGATGAACTGTCAGGCTATTTAGAAATGTTGCATTTAGTTGCATTGGGTTTTTCTGGTTTGGTTGGGTTTTTTTTCTTTTTCTTGAAATGTGGAGCTTTTTAGGAAGGAGTGAGTGAATGCACGCCTTGAGATAAAACAGTTTTTTATTCTGGAGGAAGTGAGATGCTACAGGACACTTTCCTGGTTATATTGATTGATTAAAAGCAAGACCATATTTGTGGTAGTGTGTGAGGAACTATGGATTCTGTTATAAAGCACAGAGAGTGTTGGACACAACTGCTGGTGTTGTGCCCATAGATATGGATCCAATGCATGGGAGATGTTACTACTTGTCTTCTGGAGATTAGCTGTAACTGAACTGAGAGGATCAGAGAGCACTGCTGTGAGAAGCTTGTGGGCAGATATCTGCTTATGGGAACTTCTCATAGAGCTGAAGTGTAGATAGAGCAGCAAAGAGTGTGTTTTCACATTGCCGTCTTTGAAATAACCAGCATGAAGGATGGGTAAGGGCCAGCTCAACTAGCTGGTGGGAGGCAAAGAGAGCAGAATGTGTGTACTGAACTGCTGCTCCTCTTGGAGGCCATTTAAGTCCAGGCTTCAGGGAGATGCCTGTGTCAGTGTTAGGTAACAAAATTATTCCTTTCTGAAACAATTTACTGCTATTAAAATAGAGTAGGAGAAGGAGTTGCTGGTAATCTACCTACAGTATTGTAGTGGTTAAGCACTTCCCAATATGCAGAAAACTGTGATTCATTTCAGACACTTAGTGTTGCTGGCACTGAGCTTGGATGAGGAAGTCTGACTTAATCCCTCTTCCCATATGTGTGCATATCTTACACAATCACTGAATAAAATCCAAAGATAGCTCTTTGCACAGGGACTGGAATCTGACGCTTTTGCAGTAAATTTTGTGACCCGACGAATCGTAAATCTTCAGGAAGCAAGATGACCATACCTGCCTGTTGGCAAACTTATCTTTGAAATGGGAAATGAGTCCATGAATTCTCATGTATTGGTGGGAATCTTTTCCTCTGATATATTGAACATAGGAACCTCTGTTTTACATAGTTTGTATACCCTCTAAAGCAGTCAGGGTGAAGAGGTCCCAGACCAACTGTAAGTAGGGCTATTGAGTTGATCCTTCAAGCTTTATATGGAATGGACCAAAGATTTAAAAAAGATACCCAGAAGTAATAAGATTGAGGTGATACTGGGTGTAGAAACTCAGACTTCCAGATAACATTACCAATTAGCAAATGCCTTTAAGGCAGAGGGCCATAAGGGTTTAAATTTCACTCGGCTCCCACTGGATCTGGGTCTTAATTCTTTGAGTGGCACTGTATGAATTGCTGATGCCAAGATGTGGAGAGGGACTTCTAATAGGGGTTAAAATCCACCTGTTTGAGTAGTTGGAAAACCATGGAAACAACACTTACCAAGAAAACGTATAGTTCTAATGATGAACCTGTCTTTGCATATTAAGACAAGGAATATGGCATACTGCACAGCCTGGAAGAAGGATGCAACATTAACAGTCATGACCTATGTCGCAGGTTGCTTGCCTTCAGTATTTTTTTAAACCTTTCGCTATTAATAAAACTTCCTCCACCCTCGCTTGAGGGAGTATGATGCCCTTAAATGTACATATATGGTTAGATTTATCAGATTATTTTTTCTTCAACAGAAAAGAGGATTTAGAGTCAGGACTGTTCTTGATTTCTGTGGAATCATGGGTTGTAGCTGCTGACTGTGCTAAAGAAAATCGTGTTACGGAAGACAGAGATCCCCCTTCCTTTATTTTGTCTAGGGCTTATTTATTGGTAGTGTGTATAGTGTCATTATTTGCTGGTTTAGGGCGTACAAATTCCTGACTGTACAGTCTTTAGAAACTGCAGTGTTAATAAGGACAGTTTGGAATTGAGAAATTAAGTTCGTAGCTTTACTGGAAAAATGAGTTACAACCAGTGACTGATTAAGATCAGAAACAGAGGCCTGTCTGATCATACCTCCTGATTAGACCTCTAATGCAGTTGACTCCTGCTTCCCCTACGGTTACAGTCACTCTCTGTAGTAGATAGAGTACTGTCTGGTGGGTGCGCTCACGAATTTGTCTTGTGTGTGGGGAGATGGCATTAATGCCATGTTTTCTTCTAAAACTACTACAGCAGCAGAGTAGTGATCTTGAATAAATAGCTCTTCTCTTGCCTTTTAATCCAGTAAAACCAAAGATAAACTTGATTTAAAAAAAAATCAAAAAATAAATTTGAGGTCAAAGTATAACACCTTGTGCTAGAACAGTGCAAGATAGCATCTGAAAGCAGGAAGTGGATACAGAGCTGAAGTGTCTCACCTGCATTTGCAAATATACCAACTCTTTATAAAATTTCTCTTGCAAGTTTTATAAAATTTTTAATAAATACTTGAAAACACAAGAAAAAAACCTCCAAAGCAGCTTGAACAACAGTATGCACTATATTACAATTGTGCTTCTGTAAATCCTTCAAAGGTGTTATTCTGATTTCAGCTGTCCCAGAAAATCTTAGTAGAAATCACCAGGAGTGCAGTAAAAGTCCTTACTTTCCACTGATTCGGACTATTTTATTATTTTTTATCAATGTACATCAATCCTATGAGTTAGTTTGGTTTTCCTCTATATTTTGATTAGCAAAGGCCAAAGCAAGAGGGAAAACACAGATGCAGTTACCTGTTCCCATCCCTTTTCTTGTCCACTGTACTCTTGTCTGACATATGGTGAAAAGACACGTAGGAGTAAAAGCAAATTATTTGTAAAAGCAAATTATTTGTCCAAATCAGCTGTATATCCTCCCTTATGTCCTGTTTAATGCACCAAGATTCAGCTCAGCTTAGTAGGAGTCCATTTACAGTTTTCACTGAATGTTCTGCAACTCACCAATTTATAGCCTTTTGGAAAAATCTGCATTTGCGTCACTTCAGTGTGTCTATTTTGTAGTGTATAAATGACTGTTTTGATTTTTTTTCTTTTTCCTCATGCCCAATCTTGTTTTATCTTTTGAACTTAATTTATTTATAATGTTATAATAATAATGTGTATTTTGAAATGGAACAAGGCATCTGGCTTTTGGGAAGGAATCTTAAAAGAGTTTCGTTTTCATGAAATCATGCAACAGGAAGGCACTACCATAATGTAATGATAATGTAGTCTTACACTTGTACAGACAGCCACAACAGAATTAGGAAATACTTTTTTCTTTTGTGAGTTCTTTCTCCTTTTAACAATCAGCTTCAAGCAAATACAGTTTTCAGGATTGCTTTGGTCTGAAACTTCATGCAAAATTCAGTGCCAGGAGCCTGCAAATCTGTTTTCTTAAGTATTGTCATATTTGGAATTACTGCAGTATTTGACTGCTTTCTTTTTAAATATTAATGATGCCTATAGCTCAACAGGGAATTTAGATTCTTTTGACTGTCATTAACATTTTCTTGAACAGATTTTCTATCCTTATATTCTATCAAACTGAAGGATGGAGGAAATTCAGTTACTATGTGAGGAGCGTTATGCTTAAAGCTATTTTGTCATTTGATCTCCATCAAATTATTAAAATGTCATTATTTTTTCTTTCTCTCTTAACAGGGGCAAATTTGGATCAATGGCTTTAATCTGGGTCGCTACTGGCCGGCCCGTGGTCCTCAGCTGACCCTTTTTGTTCCAAGGAATATACTTGTTTCATCTGTGCCGAACAACATAACAGTGTTGGAGCTGGAGCGTTCTCCTTGCAGCACCCAGGCATGCGAGATAGAATTTGTAGACAAACCGAATATCAATGCAACCACACAGTATGAAAATGATGCCCCTCAACTCTTTGTTAGAGACATATGGCTGAACCATCTATAATGATTTGACTATTTCCTTATCTTCCCCCACTTTGTTTCCGTTTCCGTCAAACCACACTTCCCCTTTTTAAAGGTTCAATGTTAATCAGTAAGTTGTTTAGCTGAGCCAACTTTTTAAATCCTTCAAGGACTTTTTATTTAAAATCTGCCATAGTTAAATAAGGAAATTCTCTTAAAAAATAAAAGCTGTCACCTTAGAATTTGCCTTGGACTGTGAAATTGAACTCAACTGGAAGATAACGTTTGCATCAGTTTAGTAAAAATGTAGTCCTTGTTAGGCTACTTACACTACACAAACCCTCTTACGCTTTTCTTTTTTACCATGTTTTGCAACTGGAGAGGAGCCTACAAAAGGGCTGCACAGTCCCACTAGCTTGCTGTTTACTCTTGTGGACTGGTAGGTCAGAGCTGCCCATACAGTAGATGCTTTCAGCTGATTTTATCATCTGGTTAATTGTCTGAAGGGGCTTACTGCCAACATTGAGCAGATATCTTTTTTATTTTTTTTTTTAGGTGGCTGTTTGGTTTTGGTTTTTTTTTTTTCTTTTCACCATCTCTGTGCAAGTGACCTTAGAAAAATTTCCATTGGTTTCTCACAGGAGCAGTGAGAACTGTGGAAGAGAGCGCTCAAATGTAAGTTGATCCAAACAGCACTAATGTGGAGGGACCTTGTAGTCTGCATCTGTCCCTTCTTGGAAAGCCAATTTAATGCTTCCTTTCTGCTGTCTCTGAAGACTTTAAGTAAATTGATAAGTACAAGGACATATGTAAAATTTAGCCTATTTTGTTTGGACCATAGCCTCTGATTAACCTGCCTGCAGGATGTAGTCTTAAAATAAGCCATTTTTCCTTTTAATGGATCCTTTTTCTTTTTGTTGGTGGTTTTTTTCCTTGTTGGTTTTTTTTTTTTTTTCTTTTTTAACTCTAATGGGCCTGGAGTACCTGTTTTTCATAGGTCAGCACACCTTCAAATTGGAAGCCTTTAAGTTAAAGAATTTTAATTCTCTGGTTCAGTAATTCACACCTCTTGTTTTGTTCCAGTAAACTGATGATCTGTGTAAGTGCCTGATACTCGCAATGATGTACAATCTCTGTCAGTACAGCTGACTTTATACAACAAACTAAATCTTTTTTTTTAATTCTTATGGGTTTTATGTCAATCACACAAACTCCGTGGTGAGATTTAACAGCAAAAGCTTGAGACAATGGAATCAAGTATTTTCATAATCTGTGGTTTCTTACTTTGATTTTTGTCTGACATTATTAAAATGGTTCTTTAAAGATGAAATCCTTCCTGTGTTTGTTTGGGAAGGAAAAAGGGGGTGAGGAAAAGTTATGAGCAGTTACAGTATTAAAGGAGAAATGAGGTTGTAAAGTCTCTGTGGACAAGGAGTTCTTGTTGATGTCTGTCTTGTTTTCTGTGTTATGAAGACATGGTGGTTTAACCAGGCTGGCAGCTAAAACAACCACACAGTTGTTCGCTTACGCCCCCCAACTCCTTAGTGGGATGGGGAAGAGAATTGAAAAAAAAAAAAAAAAAAAAAGTAAAACTTGTGGGTTGAGATAAAGACAGTTTAATATGACAGAAAAGGAAGATGATAATGATAAAAGAATATACAAAACAAGTGATGCACAGCACAATTTCTCACCACCTGAAGCCAGTTCAGCTAGTTCCTGAGCCGTGATCCCACCTCACAGCTAGCTTCCCCAGTTATATACTGAGCATGGCGTCGTATGGTATGGGCTGTCCCTTTGGTCAGCTGGGGTCAGCTGTCCCAACTGTGTCCCCTCTCAACTCCTTCTGCACCCCCAACCTCCTCACTGGTGGGGTGGGGTGAGAAGCAGAAGAGGCCTTGGCTCTGTGTAAGCACTGCTCAGCAGTAACGAAAACATCTCTGTGTTATCAACACTGTTTCCAGCGCAAATTCGAAACATAGCCCCCTACCAGCTACTATGAAAAAAATTAACTCTATCCCAGCCAAAACCAGCACAGAAGATGTGTGCAAAGCAAAGTAGTCATTATGGGCTGTGTGGACCCCATCGGTGCCAGCCTTTTCTGGGATGGACAATGCAAAAACTTATTTCTTAGCCAATGAGGGACTATTAGTGTCACCTGAGGAGACAGTGAAAAAGAGCACCACTCCCTTGAGTACCTACATCTCTGCTATGTGTTTGATGGGCTTTCAAACCACACACGTGCGGTTCACCTGAGGCAGAGAGCTTCTACTCTTAGATTCTCACCTCAGATGCGAAATCTAATGGCTGGGGGCTGCATGTGTTCTGCCCTGACCCCAGATTTGTGTCTTTTCTCGGCACCATCCCTATGCAGACCCCAGAACATGCTCTGCAAGCATTTTATTATGAAATATTAAATACCTCACAGCCAGGCCTTGAAAGTAAGGAATGGAACAGAAGTAGTGAAATAGCAGTTGTGGGTTTTGTGGCTTGAAGCATGCAGAATAGCAGTGCTATTTAGGTATTATTCCTCTATAACAGTTCAGTGTTTTAACAGCCAGGAGTATTTTTATTTTTCTGGCAGTTAGTGCTGTCAGTAGAGTGGAACCCCTAGCTCTTATTCTAACTTAATTTCATTTTACATTATACTTGTGAAAATGTAGTGTTATCCATGAGACTTTACTTTTTGCCGTAACTTTCTGTAATATTACAAGCAGAAAGGCTTTGCATTGAGGATTACAAACGTGCATCTGGTTAGATATAAGACTAGCAAGTACATGGAGAAAATAGGCTTAAAGTTTTTCAAGTAGGGCATTAACACACCTTGCCTATTTACTGCTTTCAGTGAAGTGATCTCTTGTCTACAGAAAGGAACTGGAAGTTGGAGCCCTAATTCCTAATCCTGGTGTACCTACATGAAAACACTGGTAGAGGTTGCCAAGCGGTGCAGTATTTAGGAGTATGCAGAAGGGAGGTCTCTGTGACAAGGGGCCTTCAGAGTACAGCACTACCAAGAACAACCTGCTGCTTTACCCAAGCATGTGCCTTGGGAGGGTCTTCTGCTCTGCCCGTGTCTCATACTGGGTCGCTGTGCCCACACCACTGCTGCTACTACATGGCTGGGGCTTATCCTAGGTTTCCTAGCCTTGGCATGCAGTCTTCCGGGCACTCGGTATGTGATACAAAATGAGACAGCAAGCAGACATTTGGTCCTTTGCAGTCTTGAGTAGGTCAGTTATTTTAACCTATCCTCAAATGTGGTTCTATCATCCGTGTCTAGGGGTGGAAATGAAATCAGAATGAAACCTTCTGACTGAAGGCCAAATGCATGGGAGAAGAGCGGCTGTGGGGAGTTCGCTGGCTCACCTTGACCATGTTTCAGTTTGGTTTTGAAAGGGCATGATGTGAAAACATTGTCAGATCCCTGGTCAGTATCTGTGGTGTAGCTGTGTGATCTGTTCCAGATGCTGAAGCTCAATGGGATGGTCTGTCTGGTGGAGCCAGCTGCTTCCTGAAGGCATGGCAAGAAGGAACATTCCTAATGCTAAAACTGTGGCTCTTCAAATGCTCAGCCCTACCTTGGGAATTTGCAAGTGCTTTTCTGGCATAGCAGCTGAATAACGGGCACAGTGTTTGCTTTGAGCAGACCAGTGCAAACCTGGTATTTAGTCAGAATCAGGCTGTAAGAAGTGGAGTTTTTACACTGGTCCCATCTGGAAGGTAGGTGTGATCTTCTCAATTCTGTAGGGGAGTGCCATTTGAAATCTGCCCTTAGACTGTAGCTGTAGGGGCTCAGCTTAGCGCAGGTATTTTTTCCAGCCGTGGAGTGAGGTTTGTAAGCTTAGACTGCAATCCTGCCTATGCATGAATGAAGGCCTTTTAAATGTGATTACCCAGACGAATGAGCAAGTAGGTGAACATGAACTGGTGAACAGTATGCAGTATGCAGTTGAATTCTCTTTCTTGACCTCTTTCCCTTATATTCATAACATAATTACGGTTTGTGAGAGATGATCTAGCCGTATGCCTCTCTACCCTAAGCCAATGTCATCTGTATCTAAAGTATTCCCAGTGTATTTGTTTAACCTGTTCTTCAGAGTTTCCTGTGACGGAGACCTGAGATTTCCCTAGTCAAGCTAGTCTAGTGTTTACTGTTAGGAAACTTGTCGACAGCTAACTGAAGTCTTCGTTGCTGTATGTAAGCCAGTTATCAGTTTCCCTGTCCACAGCCAACATGAAGTATTGTCTTTGTGGTCTGAAACTTTTTTGTGCCCTATTATCTTCTTATCTCCCTGATGCACTGGATTTACAGAAATTTTAAGAGGTGCAGAGCACCATAGAGAAGACTCAGCAAGGATGTGTAAGGGTGAGGAGGTTCTGAATGATCTGGCCCAGGTGCTGCAGCAGCTTTTTGTTTTTGGAAGAAATGACTGAGTTGCAAGAAAGCTGTCTTACAGGCCAGGAGTTAAAAGCATGGTAGCCAGCCTCGAGGTCCTGGCTGGAAGATTGCATGACAAAGGGAACTGAAAACTACAGAAGAATGAGATCTGCTTTAATGGTTCTCCTTCAACGAGAAGGCAAAACTGGGCAGGAAGAGATGATCTTGAGACTTGATGCAAAGGGCTGAATAGAAAAATGTTGGAAAACATGTCACGGGGATCTTTGCCATGCTTTGGCTGAATAAAATACATAAGTTTAAAAATCCCTTTTCATAAGGTATTTTCTGTGGCTTGTTATGTTATCAAAGATGAGAGTAGTGAACTAGAGTCCCTAGCTTTGGGGGGACTTGAAGTCTTGAAAGTGTGCGTTACCTAGAAGAGGTTTCACAGAACCAGTGCTAGTTTCAGGCCCTTGGTAATGCAACCTTCTTTCAGTAGGATATATGGTCTTTGTGGCCAAGGAATCAGCAACATACTTAATTCCTGGTTTGGACTTTAGCATATACACCTGTCCCTCAGGAGCTGAGTATATAGATGGGACTCTAAAGTCAGGGTCTTAGGAAGGTGTCACTTTGTAGTGTTTTAATGAGCAGCACAGTCTCGCTCATGAAACTCCCCAGCATGTGTTCATAGCA